TGACGAACTGGTCAGCCATCGAGCAATGGAAAGTGTCCATTTTTATCATGGAAAGTTCTTTCTTTGACAATGATGTTCCACCTGTACAAGTCCCAAGAGACACTGGAGGTAGAGGGTAGAAGAACGGTTTATAGGGATATGTAGGGAAGATAACGATTAACCCGAAACTTGAATATTGTAGTTATCGGGGAAGCATCCTCTCGGGAGTCGCTTCCACAAAGCAGCTGTTCGTGGGAGAAGCTGCTCGAGTAGAACTTATATTTCACTAGTGGAATATGAAGGAAATGAAGGTGGTTCGCTCCAATTTATCCGTGAATGTTAAAACCAAAGGAATTCAGTTGTGTTGGCAGAGCGAGTTATATTATCCTTATCAGGTATCATTATTCAGGTTTAAATGCTGATTTTCAAGGCAGATTTTCCTCCATAATAGAATGTTTGGTAAAACACAATCGTCATATTTTCACCTTCCCAATTTCGTCTGTTATCAAAGTTTACTTCTCTTCTTGCTCAACGCTCTTTTTGTATTCCTGTCTATCGACCGCGTTTCCATTGCATATTTTATTTGTCTGCAATGTGTATTTTACTTGGTACTGGACGAACAACTGTCCATCTCCATGGCTACTTCCTATTTTTACAGTCCGATACAAATGGTCGAATTGAGCAAGAGATTTGATCACTGCATTTATGATCGAAATACGATTCTTACTTCGTATTTGCTACTCTTACGATACTGGTAGACATTATGAAAAAGTTTATCATTGGAATTTTAAATTGAACAACAGAAACTTTGATATGGTCCTAATAAATTCGTATGTACGTTCGTTCGACAAAACGGCAAATTACTTTATAGAATCCGAGATTAAAATTAGTTTCATGTGATATTTGTATCTTTTATGAATAGTGCCATTTGTGAGTTAAAGAATCCGTGTTTGATGAAGAAGCCTTACAACCAAAGTAGGCGATGGAAGCTGCCAAACTCTCCAAATATTTTCTGCCTATTTCCGACTGAGTGCAATTCAATTATATCGGATTCTAATTGAGGCGCGTATCTAATTCGTAATCGACTTGTAATTAATTGGAAAGATGGTTGAGAGAACAAGAAAAGCAATGAGAAGCAACTGAGCCAGCCATATTGTGTTACCATAGACGTACTGTGTTGACTCAACTTCTACGATAAGGTATTGTTATTATCCCATGAATTATCCGCACCAGTTTCCTCATCGTCTTTTATTTATTGGAACTTTTACGTCAGTCCAATTCCCAGCTTTGTTAATGTTGTCTGAAAATCTGAAATGTAGAATTGGCATTATCCCAGAATTTATTTGGTCATGGGTCCTCTATTTAATCGTTTTGGTAAGCTCTGACGACATAACGAAGATGAATTTTGTTTTCATGATTTGTGAATTGTAAAATCAATTATGAAGAGGCTACAGTCATCTTAGAAAAGTCGAAGAATATGCCAATCAAACGACTATGATCAAAATAACAAAAGCAGGGATAATAACCAGAAATCATTCGACACTCATTGACGAATCATTTTTAGCTACTTTCCGTTGAAATTTATAAAAACTATTTTAATAATAGTTTTCAGGAAATTACACTTCATTAAGTTTTAAAACTCTTTCTAATATTGATTTAAATTTTCCGGGTAACGTTTTTGTTAATGGTGGTGAAGATCTTTAGCAGTTTCATTATATAATTGTTTTGCTTTTTGCTTTCTTTTCTAATCGATTTCGCCCCATGCAAGGCAGTAAATCCACTATGACACAAGGAGTTACATGACGTGGAAGAATTAGAAAACAGAAACATTACTAAGTAGCGAGAACAATAGAAGTGTAATCAGAAAAACAGTAGATATCGATTGACATTGCATTTAAACTTTTGCAGATTAAAGTTGACTTGAAAGCATGGGGTCGGAAGGGAAGTAAGTGTTAGAAAAGAAATTGTTTTTCATAGAATTTACGTTTAGATCTACCCAGCTCACTTGTAAATAAGGAGACCTTGTTGGCAGTCTTGTACTGCGCTTAAATTTAGCATGTAATAGAAAAAAATGTTTGTGATGACAGTTAAATAATCAAGAAGTCATGGAAGTAAGGAATCGTTAAACCACATCCGAAACAGAAAACGGATAAATCTCTACTCGAGTTCAGTATACATGGAAGGAGTTCGAACAGGGCTATAGGCGAATCTATCATCTTCTGAAATGTTATGGTTAAACTTTGCAGAATTTTTTTTTAAGCATTTCACCCCAAGCAAGGATGGAAGCCACTAGCACGCAAGGGATTACAGAGGATTTGGAGCGAGAGCAGATAGGAGTGATAGAGGAAAAGATGAAGAGAAGGATAGTGGATAGATCAAGGCAACTGGAAATGTCTATTGACATTACATTTGAATAGTTGGAGATTATAACTCTCAGGGAAGCAGGAAAATGGGAGGGAGTTCCACAGGCGAGAGGTGCAAGATATGAAGCTATTGGATTAGAAGAGGCGGCTACATTTAACAGTTTCAACAGTGAAAGGGTGAGAGCGGAATGGCAGCCTCGTAGGACGCTTGGATTCATGAAGTCAGCGAAAACAGCTCATGGGAGCAGTTACCATGAAAGTATTTGCACAAAAAAGACAGAGAGAGGCGACGGCACGTCTGTGAGAGAGCGACTGCAGACGAGATGCCAGATCAGGGACAATTGTATTGCATATCCGTACCTAGATCTTATCAAGAACTCCGAGGCAAACAGAAGGGGCTCCATACCATATATGGCAGCAATACTCCTTGTAATGGCGAATGAATACTAAAAGATTAAAATACGTATGAAAAACTCATAGTGTAAGCAAACTGATTAATTTTAGAATCTTTATCGCAGTCGTTGTGTCTCTAATATATAACTCATTTCAAGAAAGGGAATTCATTTAAAAAAAAAAAAAAAAAAAACTTTAACTGCTCCCACCAGCCCAAATGCCACATGTTCTTCGCTGTCAAATAACGACACCCTGACATTTCAAACTTTGTTCTTTTGTTCACGAGGTTGTTTGGAATGAGAAAAAACACATATGTAGTTCTTAAAAGCAACGACTGTCCATTGAATAACGAAAACATTTTTCTCTCATGTGCCTTCCTTTATTTTCCTCTCTCGGTCTGGTTTGCATTTTTAAGCTCTACCTCTTAAGGAACCTCTGGTTCTAGTTTTGTCTATCCATGAGACCAATGTTATGAATCTTCTGGATTATTGACGACACTCAGTCTGATCCCAAATATATGGTCCCCTAAGGAGGTCCCAGAAAGTGTTTGATGTTTTTTTTTTCCTTTCGCCATCTCTACATCTGGATCTACTTGACAATATGTTTGTTTTCAACGTTGCCATCTGCTGTTCTTTGACGTCTTTTCTAGATATGAATTACCGATCTCTTTTGGGAATTTGTCTTTTGGGAGCTTGCCTGGTGGTATTTGTCTCTTCAGTATTATGACTCCAAGTCGATATACAAGATTATACAAAGAAAATTGAAAGGTTTTCAACTGTGACAAGGTTAGCAGAAAAAAGTAAGCAAATAAGAAGAAAACGAAAAGATGAAAAAGAAATGTATAAATTAAAAAAAATGAAAGAAAAAGCAGAGTTTAAAAAAGAAAAACAATGGGAAAAGAATGAACGAAAAAATAAAGCAACATGTACACAAAGAAAGAAAGAAAGAAAGACAGAAACACGAAGGAAAGAAAGAAAGAAGGAAAATAATGAAAGAAAGAAACAAAGAAGGAAATGAATAAACAAATAATTGAAGAAAGAAAGAAAGAATTAATGAATGAATGAAAGAAAAAAAGAGACAGTGAGTAAGAAAACGATAAAAGAAAATTAAAGAAACAAATAAGAAAAAGAAAAGTAACCTTTAAAATATAAACATTGGAAAAAAGAAAGAATGAAAATAAAATACCACGAAAGGAAATTGGCAAAAAGAAAAGAAGAAAGAAAGAAAATGGAAAAAATAATGGAAAATAAGCAAAATAAAAGGAAAATAATGTTAAATAAAAAAGCAAAAAATAGGAAAGAAGAACTAAAATAAGAACTAAAATAATAAATAAAGAAATAAAGAAAGAAAAAAGAAAGAAAGAAAGAAAGAAAGAAAGAATGTGGAGGGTCACAGAAGAGTGAAAGAATTTATGAAAAAATATGTAACGGGTGAAAGAATGAAAGACATGAGAAAAAGGTGCGGAAACTAGCAAAAAAAAAAATGGAAATGAAATTGTTAAAGGGGAAAACACGCTACAAAAAGCATAGGGATTATAAAAAAAAATGTATTCTAATGTGAGAAAAGTGAAGAGAGAAAATCAAAGGAAAACCGAGAAAGCAAATAAGTGAAAACTTGCCATTTTTTAAGTGGATTGTCGTAAAATGTGATGATGCCATGTTGAATGAGTCATTCATACTCAAGAATGTAATCCTACTTTGTCTTGTTTAAACATCTTCAATATTTGGTCGGGTTTTTTGGGGTTTTGTTTTTTTAAGAAGGAAGCATATATAAATATTTTTATCTGCCCATATTTATTACACACCTTGGATGTGAAAATAGACTGCGATAAAGTAGATAGATAGATAGATAGATAGATAGATAGATAGATAGATAGATAGATAGATATGAAGAGATTGAGATAGATAGATAGATAGATAGATAGATATGATTGAGATAGATAGAGAGATAGATAGATATGAAGAGATTGAGAGATAGATAGATGAAGAGATTAGATAGATAGATAGATAGATAGATAGATATAGATAGAGATGTGAAGAGATTGCGATAGATAGATAGATAGATAGATATGAAGAGATTGAGATAGATAGATAGATAGATAGATAGATATGAAGAGATTGAGAGAGATAGATAGATATGAAGAGATTGAGATAGATAGATAGATAGATAGATAGATAGATAGAATGATAGATAGATATGAAGAGATTGCGATAGATAGATAGATAGATAGATAGATAGATAGATAGATAGATAGATATGAAGAGATTAAGATAGATAGATAGATAGATAGATAGATAGATAGATAGATAGATAGATAGATAGATATGAAAAGGTCAAATAATTATAAAAATAATGTGATAGAAAGGCTGATGCGAAGATATTGAAACAGATACACCCAACTGAACCCACGGCAAAAAAAAATAAAAAAATATTTCAAAAAGTTAGTTTATTCTTAGATAGATGAGAGATATTAAAAACAATGAAGAAAAATTGATTAACAAATATAAAGCTATTATTACAATTCGACATAGACGTGAATATATAGAAAGTGAAATTTAAAAGTTCTATTTTTAGACCGCAGAATTTTTAAAATTAAATATACATACATACATACATTTATATATATATATATATATATATGTATGTATATATATAAAGATATATATATGTTATAAAATCACTACAAAAATAGCCATTTTGTTTCAGATAAAAAAAAACATTTATTTTATCTTCAACATCATCACTTGATAAGACACCGAGTGTGTTGAAACAAAATGGCTATTTTTGTAGTGATTTTATAACATAATTATGTTATAATTTTTTTAAATAATAATTATATATATATATATATATATATATATATATATATATATATATATATATATATGTATGTATGTATTAGGACCTTGAATAAGTTTTTGCTGTTTTCCAGCAGATGGCATGCCCAGGACTGCGTGTGTGTAGTGTCAGATGGTATTGCATCTATAACGAAGTACGATAAGCAAGCTTGAAATTCAGTGTATGTAATAACACCGAGGTGTAAAAACCTTTGTTTTTCATAGCGTTAAACATGTCGGATTGCGTGCCCAAAAAAAGCGTATTTGCAGGGAATTTTACTGCACTACTTTATTCGAATGAAAAATAATGATTTAATGTTGAAGATAAAGAATGTTCTGGCGCAGCGCAAAAAGTTTGAAGACGAAGAATTGGAGGCATTACTTCCTGAAGACTCGTGTCAAAAGGAAAGTGAAATTGCAGAATCATTAGGAATTGATCGCACAACAGTTTCGAAACGTTTTGAAAGCATTAGGAAAATCTTCAAAAGCGAAAACATTGGGTGCCGTAAGAGTTGAAGCCCAGAGACGTCGAACGGTGTCTTGTCACGTGTAAAAAGCTGCTTCAGTGGAAGAAAAAAGAAAAGTATTTTGTATCATATCGTGACAGGCGATGGACACCTCGAGGCAGTCTAATGGCTAGCGAGCTTGTCTCGCTAGAACAATTACAAACGAGTAGAGAGTTCGATCCTCAGTGGGTACACCCTACTTTGGATCTTGTGCCACATCTAAGCTACGCTTGGAAAATCATTAAGTCACCTCGAGGTTTTCTAATGTGTAGCGAGCTTGTCTCGCTAGAACCATTTTGAACGAGTAGTGAGTTCGATCCTCACTGGGTACTCCCTACGTTGGGTCTTGTGCCACATCTAAGCTACGCTTGGAAAATCATTAGGGCACCTCGAGGTTTTCTAATATGTAGCGAGCTTGTCTCGCTAGAACAATTACGAAAGAGTAGTGAGTTCGATCCTCACTGAGTACTCCCTACTTTGGGTCTTGTGCCACATCTAAGCTACGCTTGGAAAATCATTAAGTCACCTCGAGGTTTTCTAATGTGTAGCGAGCTTGTCTCGCTAGAACCATTTTGAACGAGTAGTGAGTTCGATCCTCACTGGGTACTCCCTACGTTGGGTCTTGTGCCACATCTAAGCTACGCTTGGAAAATCATTAGGGCACCTCGAGGTTTTCTAATATGTAGCGAGCTTGTCTCGCTAGAACAATTACGAAAGAGTAGTGAGTTCGATCCTCACTGAGTACTCCCTACTTTGGGTCTTGTGCCACATCTAAGCTACGCTTGGAAAATCATTAGGGCACCTCGAGGTTTTCTAATATGTAGCGAGCTTGTCTCGCTAGAACAATTACGAAAGAGTAGTGAGTTCGATCCTCACTGAGTACTCCCTACTTTGGGTCTTGTGCCACATCTAAGCTACGCTTGGAAAATCATTAAGTCACCTCGAGGTTTTCTAATGTGTAGCGAGCTAGAACCATTTTGAACGAGTAGTGAGTTGATCTCTGGGTATTTCCCTAGAACCATTTTAGGGCAACGAGGTTTTCTAATAGCGAGCTTGTTAATTACGAAAGAGTAGTGAGTTCCTCACTGAGTACTCCCTACTTTGGGTCTTGTGCCACATCTAAGCTACGCTTGGAAAATCATTAAGTCACCTCGAGGTTTTCTAATGTGTAGCGAGCTTGTCTCGCTAGAACCATTTTGAACGAGTAGTGAGTTCGATCCTCACTGGGTACTCCCTACGTTGGGTCTTGTGCCACATCTAAGCTACGCTGGAAAATTGGAAAATCATTAGGAGCTTGTCTCGCTAGCACCTCACTGAGTAGGTTTTCCTAATGTAAGCTACGCTTGGAAAATCATCTCGAGGTTTTCTAATGTGTAGCGAGCTTGTCTCGCTAGAACCATTTTGAACGAGTAGTGAGTTCGATCCTCACTGGGTACTCCCTACGTTGGGTCTTGTGCCACATCTAAGCTACGCTTGGAAAATCATTAGGGCACCTCGTGGTTTTCTAATATGTAGCGAGCTTGTCTCGCTAGAACAATTACGAAAGAGTAGTGAGTTCGATCCTCACTGAGTACTCCCTACTTTGGGTCTTGTGCCACATCTAAGCTACGCTTGGAAAATCATTAGGGCACCTCGAGGTTTTCTAATGTGTAGCGAGCTTGTCTCGCTAGAACCATTTTGAACGAGTAGTGAGTTCGATCCTCACTGGGTACTCCCTACTTTGGATCTTGTGCCACATCTAAGAATATAATGAAGCGAGCCTGTGAGCAACGATGAGAGTAGGAAAACAAGGAGAAAGCTTATACTTAACATAGGAAAGAGGCAGATAAAAATTCTGGGACACGTAATGAGTAAAGAAGGCCTGGAGAATCTGATACTCACAGGTCGAATAAAGGGAAAAAGAGACAAGGGAAAGTAACGCATGGCATACCTGGCAGGCTGAAGCAAGTGAATGGAAGAAGGTGGACTGGGGGAGTTGATACAGACATGAAACTTAATCAGAGCCACAAAGGATAAGGGGAAGTGGAAAGCCATGTTCACCTACGTCCTGAAAGGACACGTCACAAAAAAAGAAAAAGATAAAGTAAAACAATTATAACTTAAGGGCCTACATTCTTAAATGTATATATAAAAAAATAACACATACACACGCCTCTTACCTCGTTACGTCACAGCACTCTTTGCTTAAGTCACAAAATTAATTAGTTTTTTAACATTAGATCCTAAAATGTGCTCCTCACACTTTATCATATACACTGCGTGCCAAATTATTATCGAGATTTTTTTCTAATATTTCAGAAACCGTCCAATCAATTCACACAAAACTTTCACACAATGTTGGCAACACTGACCTGCACAATCACTGAAATTTTCGTATTGATCTGCGCAATATAAACAAACTGGCGCCATATTTGTTATCAGCACGGTGATTTGAGACTACCAAATTATTAGAAAGGTTTAGTAAAATTCCCAGAATTGAGCAAACAAAAAGTTTATTAATGTTGCACGTGAATGTTTATGATCAAAAGAAGCTAATAAATAAGATAATCAAACAAATAATAACAGATACAAACAAAGGCAGTTTTAAACAAATTCATAGTGAATGTGCTTTCCCTGTTTTGAAATTACTTGAAGAAGTCGACGATCCATAGAATTTGTTAATTGTAGGATGTCATCTGCTGTAACGCCGCGAGATATGCCAAGAATTGCTTCCCACAACTCAGCGTCGCTCCTGAATTGTCGTCCGTTGGCGTACAGTCTTCGCTTCATGATGCTCCAAAGGTTTTCGATTGGGTTCAAATCCGGAGAATTTGCTGGCCACTTCATTTTTCGAGGTCCATCGAAGCCTAACTGTTTCAAATATTCAGTAGTCTTGTGAGCAGCGTGTGAGGGAGCATTATCTTGCATAAAAACAATGGCTCTTCTGAAGGCAACTCTTTGCCTTTTCATCCACGGTTCGAGATGCTCCTTCATAAACGCTATGTATGCATCAGCAGTCATTTTGACGCCATCTGGTACTCTCCATGGGCCTACTAATGTTTTTCCAATAATACCACCCCATATCATTATGCCTCCACCGCCTTGTTGGGGTCTCAAACGCTGATGGCGATTCTGTCCGTTCATTACCCAGCCTTTGCACCATCTATCTGGCCCATCAAGTGTTCTCGATTTTCGTCTGTCAACAAAACTTTAGAGAAGTCAATCTTCATATTGTCCTCGGCCCATTTCAATCGATTTTGAATGTGATTTCTCGTCAACGGAGGCTTCGATACAGGTTTGACTGTTGTTGCTATTTCTCTCAGATACCGACACCGAATACTTTTAGACACAGTAGGATCCCCAATGCGAGTGAAAAGTTCTTGACTGGTAAGTCCAGGGTTCTTCGTGGCCTCTCGTTTAAGTTTTGACATAAGATGACGTGAAATAACCTTCGGCTTGCCTTTATCTGCCATTTTGCGTACTTGTGTAGGGTCGGCGGTGAAATTTTTCACTGTTTGATGACACTTCCCTATCATTTTAGAAATTTCTAGGGTAGTTTTACCTTTGAGAGTTCTGAGGTTTTAGTTTTCTTTTCAGCATCACTTAAACTGCTTTTACGGCCCATTTTTTCACTAAATTCTTACACTTTTCTAATAATTTGGCAGGCTCAGATCACCGTGCTGATAACAAATATGGCACCAGTTTGTTTACATTGCGCAGATCATTACGAAAATTGCACAGGACAGTATTGCCAACATTGTGTAAAAATTTTGCTTGAACGGTTTTTGAAATATTAGAAAAAAAGTGATCTCGATAATAATTTGGCACGCAGTGTACTTATAAGAGCATATGTTTAAAAAAATAGGGTTATTACTCCATTTTACTAACCTCACAAATCGCCTCTACCTAACTTGATGATGACTTAAGAAAGTCGAAAACACGG